AGGTAGGCCTATACAATATTGAAAATAAGTAAACACTGTGGAACCAAATAAATAGCCTACGAAACGTAAAACGTTTATTAGCTAAATGAATAAGAAAGCTTGGAGGCACGGCATACACCTTGATGTCAAATAAAATAAATTACATGAAGTTTAAATAAAGTAAAAATCGGCAAACATTGTGAAACCAATTAAATGAATATTTACAAAAAAAACTTCCAATGTCACCTTAGATAAATGGCAAAAGTCAGCAGGCTTTTCAAAATTCAAAGTATTGACAAACAGGCGCTTTTGCATTTCGTTTAAAAACGAATCACCTGCTATCGTCTTGTCTGTCTCACCTCACTCTTCTTTTCAGTCAGCTCGACTCACTCTCCTCACGTGGTAAATAAAATCTGATCTGTGATGCGACTGTCGTTCGGCACGCTGCATTGAGAAGCCACATTCAGTTTTTAATTGTAGTGTCTGTAGTGACTCTAACTGAACTAAATTATTTTTATTGCTATAAAAAAATCAAAACCATGGTGGCGGGCGGTGCCGCGGTGGGCAAGTGACGTAACCGGTGTTGCGGCTTCACACCGGTAAAACCGTCAACACAGTCTATCGCAGCAAGCCTAGTGTGGAACGACTTGAGGGTGAGTAATTAATGACAGAACTTTCACTTTTGGGTGAACTAAACGTTTGTTTTGTTACACATCACCTGAAAACAGCATAGATCGATTCTTGGGCCTTAAGAGTCGATATTGGTTCATTAAAATAAGAATTGATTAAAATCCAGAAATTTATATTTTTAAGCCAGCCCCAGTTGCTAAGGTGTTTTTGAAGAGCTTTTTAGCATGTTATGATGCTTGACTTATTGAATCACAGTGAATCTTATAATTTCCAAAATATGATTTTTGTGTGTGTTGCAAATAGTAGTCATACACTGAAAAAGAAATCTGGTTTAGGATTTACTTTGAAACAACTACCACTCAGAAATTGCTAATAAGTTTCACAAATAATTACAAAGGAATAGCAAGTAACGCATTGAATTTAAATATGAAATTTTGAAGTAGACTGCAATAGTATTTTCTTGTAAAACGTACTTCAGTTAGCCGTTTTATTTACAACTTCGAAAAATATTTTTTTTCAGTGTAGATGAGCCGTTGAAGTAAGGCTGGGCGATATAGATAAAAAATGTATCAACGATATAATGTTTCATATCATTCGGTATCGAACCTATAACCTTTTTAAAACAAAGAGCAATAGAAAAAAATGCTTAAATGTAACCACTGTATTTTTAAATTAACCCAATTTATTCAGACAAACAACAAATATTTTTAGTTTTAAAAGTCAAACAATAAAAAATTAAACAAATATCTTCTAATGTTTTATATGCAGATTAAATAGGTCTTAAGGAAACTTTTGTCTTGTCTCCCGATGCCAAAGGAGGGCGCAGTGAGCAAAATAATGCAGCACATTTAAATTGTGAACGCATAAGTCAAAAAAAAAAAATCGGTGAAAGGCGATCCACAGCGCAAAGTTGTAGTATTTCCTCAGCGACCAGCACGGATCAGCTCCAGGTATGACGAAGCAGATATCGTCCTCTTTTGGAAGACCAAACAAAGTAGGTTCGCTTTCACAACGAATCACACAGTGCCTTCACGACACGGCAACAGTACTACAGCGAGAATAAAAGTTACGCCTTTGTTACTTTCTTTGCATGAACATTTGGGCGGCGTTATGCAAATCTTCCCAGATAGTGAGGTAGATATGTGGGGGCGTGTTAGAACGAGCCGTTTTAGGTAGGCGTGGTTGACTCTTAACTTTTATAAAGAATATCTCTTTGGATTTGAGACTTTAGTCTTTTCAACTTTACAGATCTTCTTTATGCACCAAGAGCTTGTAACACTCCAAAGAGAAAGGAAAAATTTAAAACGCATCATATGACCCCTTTAAGTGAACACTACTCTGCAGCTGTAGTGTAGCTGTGAGCCGCACTGACTGTAATGTGGACCGCTGGTGTGAGAAAGGCAACACATGCACGTGTCCTCTAGTATGCACGCTAATTTGTGGGTTTGTGTTAAGTCTCTGTGGTCTTTTTTTGTTTTCCACATTTATTTATTTTTTTTGCCATTTACTGGTGTCGGAGACTGTTCCAGTGGGTGTGTTGTTTGCCAGCTGGGCGTTCCTCCTCTTGTTAATGTGAGCGTGTGGCGGCCGTGGGTGCGCTTTTATTCCAGCCGTGTTTGCATTAGTTCATACAAACACAGCCAAGCGTGTAAACGCTGCTCTCCACCAGCTTCAGGCAGACAGCTCGCTGCATGGTTTAATGTCTCGGCTGAAGCATGACTGATTTGGGGAAGGATGCTTTGGGGAGGACATCGCCACACAGATGAGATCTGATGCCGTGTGAGCAACTGCCTGGATTCAACCACATAGTGCTTTTGCGGAAACACAAAGATGAGGACCTGATATTTGGGCTGACATGATATTTATTACAGTTAATTTGTTTGCTTACCCCAAAAATTAAAACCGTCCTTTACTTGCCCTCATGTTGTTCTAAATATGGCTTTTCCTTGAATTTTATGAAATCTCCTTGAAGATTATCCAGCAACTCAATTTCCTTCTATTGAAAGCATCATAAAAGTGGTCCATGTGATTCCTGCCCTATTCAATATTTAAAGGGTTAGTTTTATTAAAAAATAAAAAGTTATCAAATACTTCCCCTATGTTGTTACAAACCTATGAAACTTTCATTCATCAATGCAAAGCATCTGCATGAACTTTCAACTGAGGGACTGAAATCTGAGGATTCATATAAAACGTCTTTATTTGTGCTTCGAGTGTGAGTGAAAATCTTATGGGTATGGAAAAACATCAGATGAGTATTTGATGACAGAATTTTAAGTTTTGAATGAACTCTCCCTTTATGGTTTTATTCACTGAAAGTCTACATGGCGATAAAGTCGCCAATAGATTCGGCTTTTGCATTATAGAAAAGTAGCATTATAAAAGGTTTTTAAGGAGCACCTTCACACCACACACACATGCACCTGTTATCTCATTCAGGACCAGTAAACTACTGTTTATGACTACCAATCCAAAGTGCTTTATAGTGCATGCATTTTACTTTTTATGCATACAGAATGCATTTTGTAAAAAAATGTAGATGCTTTGATTGCGTTGTCAGTAAACGTGATCTAGGCCGTGTTTTTCAATGTTGTTCTTTGTACACGTGCAAATTTTTCTTAGTTTGAGTGGCATGAGTGTTGTTTTTACTGTAAAATGTTTTATTTAAAAAAAAAAATGGTAAAGACCCATTCTTTCTGTTTTTATAAATTGATGGTTTTTATAGCCATTGTTTATAGGGGCAACCACTCAACTTCATAACCAGTTCTTCAACCAGCTGTTTTTTTTTTTTTAAATGCATGAACTTGCAAACTGGACTTGTAAAGTGTAATTTTTCTAATCTTGAGTTTGCGATTTCATTTATATTTCTGCATTCAACGGGTGATTTACGCAGTTTACAGTGCAATCAAATTATACAGTTTATCAATATGTGCGTTGAGGCCAATTCACAGTACGTTATTTTTGATCTGGTGTTTGATTGGAATGTTAGTCTAATTTTCTTTATTTTAATATAAAACATAAGCACACACTATTCTCTGTCTGTACTGTACGACTAACTGTGTTGGTCTCAGTGGTGAGGAGGTAGACCAGACTGACAGGCAGCTGTTGAAGACTAGGGGGGTACGAGGGCTAACAGATGAGCGGCTGGAGTGATTCTTATTTTTAGCCATGAATCGGAGCGCTTCCCGCTGAGAATAAGGAGACATTACAACAGCGTCGACTTCCTCACGCAGTTCTCAAACTAAAACACAAAGTTGAGTCTGTGTGTGCAATGGGTGACCTTTATTAGTCAAAACTTTGATTTCATTGTTAACGAGTCAAGATGGTCAGTGAAAAGTTAACTGATATGGGCTGAAGCCATTGTTTAGATAGCAGGGTAACCTATTGATAATAAATTGCATTACATATCAAATTTATCACCATCTGTAGTCATATCAACTGAGACCTACACAATTTACTCTATTCACAAACTTTTTCACAACAAAAAAGAAAAGTACTGTTGAGTACTCATGAATTATCCCTTTATGGGCCAATAGTCAATTAGGGATGCAGCGATTATAGGTTTTGTTGGTACGATTATTGTCTGAGGAATAATCACGGTTTTACGATTATGACGATTATGCATTTATTCACTTCCCAACAATGTACAATTGTTGTAATATAAACAATTTATACTAATGTATAAAATCACATGAACACTCTTTAGATATTAAAGTGTTATTTATTGCTGGCTTTTGAAACAGAAATAACACAGTAACCAACAATACAGCAAAAAATTATAATAAACAAAAGACAAACAGAAGTCCATCTCTCCCACTGGAATTAAAAAAAGGTGACCTCTGCTCTGTAAACATCCATTTCAGTATTTCTCTTTTGAAAATAACAAATGGAAATAGATCACAAAAGTATTTAATGTTTTCCGTTTGTACAATCTTTACATTTCTTTTGGACCCGGGGTAGAGAATTTGGAAACATGGTGAAAAAAACATCTTGTTGGTTTTTACTTATGAATAATGCTACAACAGGGATAGTAAATAAAGTTAATGAAGTAGCCTATTATTAATATACGAAAAATATTAACTTTATTTGTCCCACAGGGGAAAATGTATGCCTCTGATAAGCACGTCATTTTAAGCTGGTGCACCACTAGTGTAACTTTGTTTTCGTTTTGCACAAGCTGCAACAGTTCCGTTCCGTGTAACAGAAACACTCAGTTTAGCGGAACCTTTACGATTAATTAACCGTGACGTTTTAAAGCGCGGTTAATCGCGAAACCAGTTAATCGCTGCATCCCTATAGTCAATGTAGAATGAACGTAACTGGCCAAATATTGGCTGATTTATTTATTTTTATTTAGTAAACTGATAAATCTTTTTCCTCTCTTTTTCTAGACTTTGTGTCCTTGTTTGACTTGGAAAACGATCTTCCAGATGAGTTGATACCCAACGGAGACCTGGGGCTGATGTCCATGCCCTCTAATGGAGACGGAGGGGTGGGGAGCCGGATGGGGGGCACCGTCCAGGACGCTGCTGCCAAGCACAGGCAGCTGTCCCAGCTCCTGCAGGCAGGGAGCGGCTCTGGTCTGGCTGGAAACCTCAGCCCTCAGTCTGGAATGGGTGGCCAACTGGGTGCCTTGGGGAAGAGTCCCATGGGCCAGGGCTCACCCGGTCACCAGACCCAACCGCCAAAGCCGGTTGGCAACCCTACCGGTCAGGGCAACATCAGTCCGGGTATGGGCCTCAGTGCAGGTTTCAACCCAGCCATGCTGAACAATAACAACCAGTCTCATGGACTCATGGGGCAGAACATGGCTCCGCAGGGGCAGATGATGAATGGCGTGATGGGGCCGGCCGGAAGAGGCAGGGCAGCTCCGGGGATGCAGTACCAGGGTCAGGCCATGCAGGCAGCACCGGGTGCCGGGCAAGGGGTCAGCGTTTCTGGCAGCGTATTGGCGGAGACACTTACCCAGGGTGCACCACAGATGGGGGCACACAATGCCATCAATCCCCAGCAAGCGGGAAACATGAACAAGGTAAGTCGCCATTGCTGTTTTTTATGTCTTGCGTCCAAAAAATGTTCAGTGTGGTTGGGTGTAATGATTAGGCAAGCTTACACGAATACAGATAAACAAATTGTTTCAGTTTCGACCAGTTTCGTTTGTGTAGTTTCAGTTTCAACCTATTATTTCCACTACAATTGGTGGAGTAAGAAACTCGTGCTGTTTGTTACTTGGATTTAGGAAGGTTTACTACTTGTTGCATGATGGTTCGCTAATTGTTTCGCCATTTTTCTTATCAAGTATCAAAATGCAAGCCTTAAAGTGACAGGAAATTGTGGGTTATGTTCAGCTTGAGGTGTATGGACGGCATCTGTGACATGCTGTGTTTTATGATGGATATTTTCACCCCATATATATATATATATATATATATATATATATATATATATATATATCATTGAATGGGGGAGCATAAGAGATGGGAAATAGAAACTTCTTTCTACAAATAAAGGTAGTTCATAGAAAAAAATAAAGATTTTGACTGGTCATTTGGAAATTCTGTCTGATACATTGTACTAGTACAGATGATTGCTGTTGGCATTTGTTTGTTGTTTGGTTAATATTGCAGTGGTGCTTAGTTACAGTAGTTGTTGTGTGGGTTGAATCGGTCATGTTTAAAGGAATAGTTCACCCAAAAATGAAAATTTGCTGAAAATTTACTCACCCTCACCCACTGCAGTGAATGGGTGCAGTCAGAATGAGAGTCCAAAAAGCTGATAAAAACATCACAATAATCAACAAGTAGCCTAATCCACACCACTCCTGTCCATCAGTTCATGAATCCATTAGTAATTCATTAAGACATTTGAACTAAAATACAAGACTCTGTCTGTAATATTGCTTTCTCCAGTGAAAAGTGGTCTCGTTTGAATCAGGAGAGAAATCTGCACAGATCAACCCAGCGAAAACTATTCTAAACAAATGACTGAGTACATTTTCATGTTTGGGTGAACGGTTTCATTATTCTGCTCTGCTGCTGCTCATGTAATTTTCACACGTAGACCATCTCATGTCCATGAAATGTGCATTAAGATCATGAAAGCACTGTAAGTTCTCCCCGTTTTTACATTTGCACAATTCCAAACAAATAAATACACTTAAATGGTTGTTGGCTGTAGCACTAAACACATAGTAGTTTAAGCATTTAATTCTTTGTCTGTTTGCTTACATTCCTACATGAATGGATTCTTCATATACATAAAAACATGGCTGGTAAAAAAGAAAAAAAAGTAAGTTCTTAAAGGGTGCCATAGAATGCAAAAATCACTTTTATAAGGTGTTTGAACACAGTTGTGTGGCTGCAGTGTGTGAAAACAACCAGCCTATAATGGTAAAAATCCACCCACTCATTGTTTTATAATCCCAATAAATCATAAACCATCTCTCCACACTAGCAGTTCCAGATTTCTCACTACTATGACTTCATACTCGGGGAAAGTCCTGCCCATTTGTGATGCCCTCTGCCCTATTAGCATATACGTTACACAGCCCTGAGTGAGAAGCAGTGGTCCGCCGTTTTCTTGCTGTAGCTGCTGGAGGTACTATGTCATGCAGTTCCAGATTTCTCACTACTATGACTTCATACTCGGGGAAAGTCCTGCCCATTTGTGACGCCCTCTGCCCTATTAGCATATACGTTACACAGCCCTGAGTGAGAAGCAGTGGTCCGCCATTACTGTTTTCTTGCTGTAGCTGCTGGAGGTACTATGTCATCGCCAAAGAGCCATTAAAAGTGTCATGTGTTGGGATGCACCAATGAACATAGGAGTCTCCATAGACCGCTGAGGACACGGTGATTAAATTTCATTTTCAAAGGAAATGTCCCGGAAAAAAACGGGAAAGCCCTATACGTTTGTGTTAACATTTTACGCCGTACTGCCTCACAAACGAGGGTCAGTTCAGCGCTGGAGTTGTGCAAAGATTGCTTCTGAAAGAGGGATCGATACCAACGCTTCGTGCGCAAACGTCCAGACAAAGTAAGCATCAAGCCTCATATTTTGTTTTCCAAAAGAGCTTCTTGGCTCTCTGTAAGGCTACTGTTGCTAAAGCTACCATTGTCTCTGCCTGTTTTCACCAATGTTGCCTTCACGTGCTACCAGAATGATCGTAAATAGGAATGTGATAGTTAAAAATTGCATTTGGAAGCAATGTGAGGATCAGTAACATGGTCACCACCAGTTAAACCGTAACACCGTAATGCCCGCGAGCATGAGCTCGTGAAGCTCCTCACTCTTCTGAAAAGGGAGGCGGGAGCACCAGCTCATTTTCATTTAAAGGGGACAAACACAAAAAACAGCGCGTTTTGGCTCATACCCTAAAAGTGGCAATTTCAACAAGCTATAAAAAATGATTTTGAGATAAAACTTCACATACACACTCTGGGGGGACATCAGAGAACAATTTAAAATATTGTATCAATGCATTCTATGGCACCTTTAAATCATTCTTCACAAGACTATTGATCTTATTGTGAACAATTCATCCATGGTTATATATATATATATATATTTCCCCTCTTAATTTCATAACTCGATCTACTGGTGAAACAGACTTCTCTCTTGTAATTTCTCCAGCCAATAATTCCCATTCTTACAACCAACCTCAAGCTCACATTCAGATCCTCCTTAATCCAATCAACAACTGATGAATTGAACCAAGACAGTGTTTAACATGAATCTATGCCTGCTTGAGCTTTTCAGACATTTGAAGGAAAGATTGCACAGAAAGGTAGTTGTGGCTATCGCATGTGTCTTACTGTTGTGGTTTTACAGGAAACCAATCGGAAACCAGTGTGCTGCTCGCACTGTGCTTTTGTCACTAGTGCACGCTCTTGTGTTGAGATGTTGGGTTCATATCGAGAAATCAGTCACTCGATGGAGTTTGCAACTGAAATATTGTGAATAACATCACACAGGCTGCCAGAGCGATCACGGGTTTCCATATCTGCTGTGTTTGTTCAGAGGTGAATAGATGTGCTGTCAGCAGTGTGGCGTGTGTTTGCATTGCACACAGATTATGAGAGTCACAAGAGCAGGTGAAGTGTGTGAGATCAGTCCACAGCTGTGTGCCAGCGCTCGTGTCTGTACTGTCCGCTCGGTCTCAGCTCTCATGTGTCCTGTTCAGAGGAAATCTGCATTAGATTTCTCACAAGATCTCACAAGTTTTTTTCTGGGTTCTGTTCATGGAATAATCCAGTTCATCATCATACAGAATGTCTAATCAAATTAGTTAATCTTTAACAGTTTAATAACAAAAATGACATTTTAACCACATTTTTAAGCAAATTAAAATATAACTAATGCATTTTAGAGCCAGGTGGTGTGATATGTGTGTGCGATTAGAATGTGGGATTTTGCTTTTCTGTTTATTTTGCGGTGGGCATATTTGTATGGCTGTTAGTAGACAGAACTGATTTATGCTACTTGCACATGAGAATCAGTAAGGTCGAAACTTGCTGCATTAAATTTGGCATGAAGTAATTCACCCCATTTATATTTAAATTAGGGCTGGGTGATAAATTGATAACGATAATTATCGCAATATAATTTTAAAACGATATGAAGAGTTCGATAAATGTTTTCTATAATGTTCATTTTACCAAAAGCCAGGGATGGGTACCGAAACCCGGTATTTAATCGGTCCCGGGGCTAAATCATGAAAGACCGGAGTATCGATAAGCTCTGACGTTAATGGTTCTGCTATCGTTACTGGAGAAATTAATAAAACACACATACATTTATTACATTACATTCACAGTGGTGCGCATTCGTTCCTCCCTAAAACCCAAACTTAACGTCAGAATCAGCTCAATCGGTGATTGTTGTAAGATGCTGTCTTTACTGTTGCTAAATTGCAGGACATGTTTGATAAAACGTTGAAAGCACAATCCGCAAAAGAGACGCTGTTACTCAGGCTGAAATGTGTGCACGCGACGTGCTCCAAAACGGACAAACAAATTACACTTTGAGCTTCGGGCGCATGTCCAATCGATCAAATACACACAAAAATGTCAAAATGTCCACCTTGAAGAGTTTTAGTTTTACTTAAACACAGTTTATGTCTTATGTGGAGGAGAACAGTTGCGAAAAAATCTGATGTGTGTCAATATATTGTCTTAAAGTGACAGACTGGTGCTTGGGCCATCAAAATGCAAATCTGCTCTTAATCTGAATAACGTTATAGCTTTAACAAGCATGAATCTATCAATACATGCACTGAAAACTATGCAGTGTTCATTTACATTTGGTTACTTTTAGATTTCTTTTGTAGGCTATTACTTACCTGAACAGTAATGTTAGTAGAACTTCATGGAAAAATTACAGCACTGTTTATTTCATTTCATTTGTATATTTGTTTTATTGTATTTGTCAGTTTGTTTTACTTTGTTTCTTTGTTCATGTTCTTACTGTATCTTATCTTATGTATAAAACACTAAAAATGCCTGCACACTGGTGCATTTACAAACAACAGTTTGTGATCTGGCTCTTGATTTTATCGTTTAGTTTTTTTTTGCGGGGAGGCAAACAAATAAAAAATGCGCGCTGCGTAGTAAAACCGTCTATGGTAATTCATGTTGGCCAAAACACAAGGAAACGTGTTGTGAAAAAAATATCATCGGCAATCACAGACATTCGCATTTGGATAGGATTAGTTTTCACAGAGAATCACTGAGTTTCCCGAAAAACAGTAGGTAATTTGCTCTGGAATTAATACAGAGGTTGTGAGAAAAACACAGACGTGGCAAATTCTGAACATCATGTGAAATTTCCCTAATGACCTGTAAAACTAGTCCCGTCCGAATAGGGCGTAAAGGGGTGGTTGATTGCGATTTTTCACTTTTTTTAATGTTAGTTGGTGTGTAATGTTGCTGTTTGAGCGTAAACAATATCTGCAAAGTTGCGGCGCTGAAAGTTCAATTCAAACGGAGATATCGTCTTTTAAAATTCTGGCACTTTAATGCCTACAAAAACTGC